TTGAGCCATCGGCTTGAGCCATCGTCTTGAGCTATCGGCTTGAGCCATCGTCTTGAGCCATCGGCTTGAGCTATCGGCTTGAGCCATCGGCTTGAGCCATCGTCTTGAGCCATCGGCTTGAGCTATCGGCTTGAGCTATCGGCTTGAGCCATCGGCTTGAGCCATCGGCTTGGCTGAGCTATCGGCTTGAGCTATCGGCTTGAGCCATCGGCTTGAGCTATCGGCTTGAGCTATCGGCTTGAGCCATCGGCTTAAGCCAGCCGGCTCAATGAGCCGGCTTGAGCCTGAGCCAAATTTTTGGCTCAGAAACTGGCTGAGTTTTCGGCTAAGCCGGCTTGGCTCAGCCATTTAACAACACTAGTAATACCCAGACCTGGCGCTTGGCTCTAAAATTAGACTAAATCTGCTATGAGCACGAGGCCCATGTATCTTAAGTTATTTCTTATTGAACTTATTAGTTAAATATATGGTTATTTATTACAGGTCTATTGAATATGCAACAATTAAAGCGCCACTTTTTGAGTGAAGCTATTTCTACGTAAACGGAAATTTTAATAACATGAATAGAAAAAATAATTCCTAAAATTATATTTTGAAATAAAGAGGTTGCTCGTAGCATAAACTAATTCCTACAAAAAAATTTTTATTTATTTGATTTTTTCATTGTAATTATAAAATTTAACTCATATGATTTATAAAGATTTAAATAAATAAAATAAAAATAATTTCAAAGCGGAGTTGAAAAAATAGCTCGGTTACGGTTATACATACGGATATTCGGGTTTGAGAATATTAAAGAGTAAATCAAATACTACATTATTGTTAAGTTTCAAAAAAGGATCTCTTTTATTTTCGCTTTTGGCAAAGTGCCAACACTTTCTTATTTTGCTCATAACTCACGAACGGTTCATTCTGCTGATGTCCGGATAGAAGTGCAATTAGGTGCAATTAAGACTCTAAATAATGGCGTAACCTTTGTTAATCTCAAGTCGTTCTGCCAGCATCAAAATTTCACACTTTCCTTTTTTTGCTCATAACTCACGAACGGTTCATTCTGCTGATGTCCGGATAGAAGTGCAATTATGTGCAATTAAGGCTCTAAATAATGGCAAAATTTTTGTTAATTGCACCTCAAGTCGTTCTGCCAACTTCACGTTTTTAACAATGAATTAGATGCAAAAAAATTCAAAAAATCCCCCACTCCTTAATTAGGTGCCAGATAGGCGATTTGGTTTTGTATTTTATTATAAAATTAATTTCTTTTTTTTTTATTTAAGATTTTTTAAAATATTAAATAATTTTTTATAAAAAAATGTATAATATTGCCTACAAATTTTTAAAGGAGATGGATGGAAATAAAAAATTAAATTTAGGGGGGGGGCTAAATATTTAGATGAAAAGTAGTTTTATTTCATCAAATCGAAAAATAAATAACATTAAAAAAAACATCAAAAAATAAGAAAAAAGAATAATGAAATGAGCCTCCCAAAAGGACTAACCAGATATTTAGTATAAAATTATTTTATTTTTATAAAAAAAAATTTTATGGACGAGGCAGATATGGAACAAGAGCAAGGCAATTCTTTTACCTCTATAAAAGATTACTTTATAGACACTAATAATTCTAAGCGCAAATGTTTGTATTGTGATAAAATTCATATTAACATATATAATTAGTCCGAATAATGTTTTTGTAAATTTTAAACAAGACTTTTACTTGCCCTCTCTTAAAAAATTGGTAAAATTTAATGATTTTTTTAATTCTTTCAATATATCTTTATATTTATTTTGAAGCTTTCCTGAAGAAAAAGATTTGGCAAATGTAGATTGAACTGACGATATTTTTTTATATTAAAATATTTTTTTATATCTAAATATTTTTATTTATTCGATTTTTTTATTGTAATTATAAAATTTAACTCATATGATTTATAAAGATTTAAATAAATAAAATAAAAATATTAGTTATAATTTATTATAATAGACAGGCCCTGGTTCGAACTAATTACTGTTTTGAAGAAATTAATAAATTACTAAAATTCTTAAAATGTATATAAATTTTTGTGAATAAGGCATACACGATATACCGAAGGTCAGGACACAATTTTTTGAGAAGAAAAATATTTTGGGGTTCATAAATTCTTGGTTTTTAAAAAAATATATCAATTAAACATTTTAATCCTCAGAATTTGTCTCTTAATTACCTCAATTTAAATCAGGAAGAGCTTAGGCAAAATTATATGAGATAATTTCCATATATAACGTTTTTTTCAAACGGTTTTGGGAAATGTTACTAGAAACCACTTTATTTCCAAACAGGATTAATTTTAGAATTGATTTTTTTCATTCATGTTATCAAAATTTCCGTTAAAAAAAATTTAAAAATCTTAAAACTTAATTTGGTAATCTAGCAAATATTTTTCTCTTAATATTGTACAAAGTTAAAAAAAAATGTTAAGATCCAGACTAAACTTGAGTCGTGAACTAGTCATAAACTTGAGTCGTGAACTCGAGTTATGGTGAACTCGAGTTATGAATTTGAATCGTGAACTCAAAGGTTATCTTAAATTTTATGAAACTTGATTACTTACATAGTGTTGTTAATTGGTTGGTTGGCTCTAAAAATCTGCTATGAGCACGAACCCCGATAACAGATCCGTGGTTCAGGCCCATATATTTTAATAGTTATTTCTTATTGAACTTATTATAGTATATAAATATATGTTTATTAGAGATAAATCGATTGATAATTAAAATACCTATTGAATAGGCAAAAAGTAAAGCACCACTTCTCAATGAGTGAAGTTATTTCTACATAGGTCAAGGATAATTTTATCAAAATCAAATATTGATATGATAATGGATGGGTATCAAATAAATATAGTTTAAACTACCTTTATATTATGTATATTAATTTGACCGGGAATAAAAAATAAATATGGTTACTCATATTTGTTAAATTTTTTTTTAGCATTGCACTTAATGGGCATGTCTGGATCTTAACATTTTATTTTTAACTTTGTACAATATTAAGAGAAAAATATCTGCTAGATTACCAAATTAAGTTTTAAGATTTTAAAATTCTTTTTAACGGAAATTTTGATAACGTGAATGGAAAAAAATCATTTCCTAAAATTAATCCTGTTTGGAAATAAAGAGGTTTCTAGTAACATTTCCCCTAAATTTAACTTCCATTTCCATCTCCTTTAAAAATTTGTAGGCAATATTATACATTTTTTTATAAAAAATTATTTAATATTTCAAAAAATCTTAAATAAAAAAAAGAAATTAATTTTATAATAAAATAAAAAACCAAATCGCCTATCTGGTACCTAATTAAGGAGTGGGGGATTTTTTAAATTTTTTTTGCATCTAATTCATTGTTTTATTTATTTTATTTTTTCAACTCCGCTTTGAAATTATTTTTATTTTATTTATTTAAATCTTTATAAATCATATGAGTTAAATTTTATAATTACAATGAAAAAATCAAATAAATAAAAAAAAAATTTGTAGGAAGGAGTTTATGCAACGAGCAACCTCTTTATTTCAAAATATAATTTTAGGAATTATTTTTTCTATTTATGTTATTAAAATTTCCGTTTACGTAGAAATAGCTTCACTCAAAAAGTGGCGCTTTAATTGTTGCATATTCAATAGGTCTTTTAATTATCTATCGATTTATCTGTAATAAATAACCATATATTTAACTAATAAGTTCAATAAGAAATAACTTAAGATACATGGGCCTCGTGCTCATAGCAGATTTAGTCTAATTTTAGAGCCAAGCGCCAGGTCTGGGTATTACACAACCAAACAATTAACAATACTAATATAAGTAATCGAGTTTCATAAAATTTAAGATAACCTGTTGAGTTCACGACTCAAGTTTATGACTAGTTCACGACTCAAGTTCATAACTCGAGTTCATGACTCAAGTTCATGACTCAAGATCAAAACTCAAGTTCATCAAGATAAAAACTCGAGTTCACTACTCAAGTTCGGAACTCGAGTCGTAAAAATGAGTCGACTAATCGAATAACTCGACTTGAGTTTTGAGTCTAGTTATTGCGACTTCGACTCGTAGTCGTAGTCGGGTGAACTCGACTTTTTAACAACACTACATGGAGGGTTCAGTTACGGCATGAGAAATTTGGAAGGAGAGAGGATTTTAGATTTTAGTGATGCTATGGATATGATTGCATGTAAAAACGTGAAAGTGATACCGGGAGAGGAATGTATAAATCAGCATCGACTAGTTGTAGGAGATCTCACTCTTAAAGGTGCCAGGGTCACTAAAAGAAAAGAAATTGAAGGAGGAGAGTGCTAGACGTCAATTCAATATGGCATTGGCGATTAGGAAAGCAGAGGTGGCACAAGCATTTGGGGTGAATGACAAGTGGGAAGCCATGAAGAAAGCCTGGGTAATGACAACTGAGGAGGTATGTGGATGGACAAAAGGGCCGCCTAGACATAAGGAAACTTGGTGGTGGAACCCGGAGGTAGCGAAAGCCGTGGATGAGAAACGGAGGTGTTTCAAAGTATGGTATAATAGCAAAGAAAATAGTGATAATGATATTTACAAGATGGCTAAAAGAAATGCTAAGAAATTAATAGCGAAGGCTCAAGAAGAAAAAAGACATGAGTTTACTAAAGAAATAGAATGCGCTGATGGAATTGGAAATATGGTTCGAATGGCAAAACAGATTTCAAAAAAGAGGCAGGATGTGATAGGTGTAAAGTGTTTGAAAAATATGGAAGGAAAAATGGCGATTGATTGTAGTGGTATTAAGAACACCTGGAAGTTTTACATTTTTGAATGAAGAAAATGAAGGGGATAATAATATTAGTTGTGCAAAGGTAGAAGGTCCAGGGTGTAAATTTGGCAAGGACGAGATAAAGAGAGCAGTGAAAAAGATGAAAAAAGGGAAGGCATCGGGTTTAACGATGGTGATGTCAGAGATGTTTAAAGGTTCTGAGATTTAGGGATTGAATGGTTAATGAATTTAGCCAATCAAATTGTCACAGAAGGTACTATTCCCGAGGACTGGCGAAGAAGTATAATTATCCCAGTATATATGGGGAAAGGTGATCCTTTAGATTGCGGGTCTTACAGAGCTATTAAACTCTTGGAACATGCAATGAAAGTATTTGAGAGAGTTAGAGAAGCGGTTAAGGGAACAAATTAAAATTGATGAAATGCAGTTTGGTTTTACATCGGGAAAAGGCACGACAGATGCAATTTTTGTGGTGAGACATATTCAGGAGAAGTATCTTGCGAAGGAAAAGAAACTGTATTAAGCGTTTGTTGACTTGAAGAAAGTATTTGACAGGGTGCCGAGTGAGGTTACTAGATGGGCCTTGAGAAAATCAGGTGTGGAGGAATGGTTGGTTATAGCAGTGATGGCAATGTATGTTGGAGCACAAACAGCAGTACGGACAGATTATGGTGTGAGTGACAGCTTTGAGGTGAAGGTAGGACTTCATCAAGGATCCGTGCTGAGTCCATTATTATCTTAGTAATGGATGTGGTGGCTAGAGAAATGCGTAAAGGACTTCCCTGGGAGATATTATATGCAGATAACCTTGTATTAATGGCAAACAGTGAGAGAGAATTGAGGGATAAAGTTAGTAAATGGAAGATGACTATGGAAGCAAAGGGTCTGAAAATGAATGCATCAAAAACAAAGGTCATGAATGGTGGGGAAAATATAAAGATGGAGGAATCTGGAAAGTGACCTTGTGGTGTATGTGGGAAAGGAGTTGCTAGAAATTCTATCCAATGCACCAGATGCCAGAAATGGGTACATAAAAGATGTAGATGGAAAAAAGGCAGTTTGATATTAGAAAGAATGGCTTTTATTTGTAGAACATGCATGAAAGGGATACATAATAGTGATAACCTAAAAAATGGTGGTCTGGATATTGGCAATGGGTTAACCCTAGAAAAAGTGGATAAGTTTTGTTATTTAGGTGATATGCTAAACGCAGATGGTGGTGTAGATTCTGCCGTTGTTGCAAGGATCAGACAAGCTTGGAAGAAGTTCAGAGAGATGTCGTCTATTCTTACAAATAAAAAGTTTCTCTTAAGTTAAAGGGGAAAGTTTACAGCTGTGTGAGGAGTTGTTTAGTTTATGGCGGTGAAACATGGGCAATAAAAGCGACTCACGAAGCCAAATTAGAAAGAACAGAGATGAGGATGGTCAGATGGATGTGTGAGGTATCTCTGAGAGAGAGAAAAACTAGCAAGGAATTGCGAGCAAGATTAGATATAGAAATGATTGGTATGGTAATGCGACGAGAATAAGATGGTTTGGGCATGTGGAACGTATGACAGGAGATGACTGGGTAAAGAGATGCAAAATGATGGAAGTAGGAGGATCAAGACCTAGAGGAAGACCCAATAGCGGCGGATATGAGAAGCATGAATCTTACAAGTATTGATGCTCAGGACCGTCAAAAATGGAAAAGAAAAATCAGAGGGAAAACTGGCCTACCCGGGTAAACCTGGAAATCGCCATAAAACGGAGAAGAAGAATCTAAATAAAGAACACAAATATAAAATTAGCATTTATAAAGTAGTGGGTTTCATATAAACCCAATCTTTTGTTGATTTTGAAAAATAATCAGATATCACTCAACAAATGGGTTAATCATAATCCATATAAGCAATACTTGATTAAATATGAAAAATATGTTATACTTTCAAGATATAAAGATTCTTTTACTTAATTTCTATCAAGTATGGCAGGTCATCTACACAGGGGCGTCGCTAACCTTAACAATCTCAGGGGGCTCAATTAAAATAAAATTCCTGGGAGGCTTCGCCCCTATGTCCCCCAATTTGCTGGCCTTCGGCCGGGTTTTATATTAATATATTATACTTTTTTAAAATGCCAACTCTAAACAATTATTCTGAATTTCATATTTTATCATTTATTATTTTGCATACAAAATAAACTAGCATATATATAATTAAACATCTAAAAATAATATTTTTTTAATACAAAATCTATTTATTACAGTAGACAATGTTTTATAGAATGGACTAATAAGAAGAAATTTATAGGCCTTACCAAATCAACAATTCTTGAAGAAGAGAATATAAACGACCAATCCAAATCATAAAACTATATGGTAGTTATAAATAAAACTTTGGGTGTTCCTTTCTATTTTTATAAAACTTTTAAAATACTATAAATCTATTATAAAAAATAAATAAAATTTAGGGAGTGTTGTGCATTTTCATTGTTTTAAAAAAAAATTCTTTAGAAAATATTATAATGAAAAATAAATATACATAACAAAAAAAAGAAAAGTAAAAAGATCGGATTGGTTTTTACAGGTATCGGTCCGATTCTATATTTTTGGAAAACGCGAAATATCGGTACCGATCCAATGTTTAATATCGGCACAACCCTACTTTATATAATTTAGTAAAACTCGTTTTAACATAGAAGGAGGAGGCAATCAGCTTCAAACAATATTGAACATAGTTTATTAATAAATTTTACCAAAATAATTATATATTTCTTATTTGGCTTATAACTTACTACACTTTGATTTCGCTGGTGTCTGGTTTGAGGATAATTTAGGATCGATGAAGATTAAATATTGACATAAATTTCAGAATTTGATCGTCAAGTCGTTTGCCAACTTACCTCGAAATATATGACTTCATTGACGCTTTTTCTCAACTCGCTCTTACTATCACGGATCTTTTTATAAATTCCTCCAATCTTTGATTATGCTGTTCAATTGTTATTCCTGCTATTAAAATATAATAAAAAACTCCTTCCATACCTTGAAAACGGCTGCCATAGCATGTTAAAATCTGAGCTGAGACACTTTGCCCAAATGGTAGTTGGAAAAATGTTTAACACTTTCAATGTCGTTATCGTCAACATCTTTGTTGCAGACTCTTTCATGGGTAACTGTAAATATGCACATAATAAATCTATCTTGGAAAAGTATTTAGTACCGTTTAAATTCGCTACAATATCCTCAATCCTTGGTAATGGGTATTTAACTTCCACCAACCACCACACTTAAATCCAGACAGGCGCAACTTCCATTGCCCAATGAACTAATGGGGTAACCATTCGTTGTACGATCTGATGAAAAATCTCATCACGCACAATTCTTTTTCCATCTCCGCTCCATTTGTATGGAATCATACATATGGCATAGTATTGTGGTATATAACCCTCTTTTATCCCTATATCCACCTATTGCTCGTTGCCATGCCCTCACTTCTAGATCATTAATATATATATTCTAATAATATCTTTTCTCATGAATTTCTCAGGTATATTTTTTAATAAGGCAATTTTTGTTTTATTACATTTTATCATGTTATTAATTTCTAATGCAAATATTCCTCCTCTTTCCTTCCATATTTATATTATAATTATTGGTTTCAAAGCTAATAGCGTCTGTCAACTCAGGTTTCCTTATTTTGGCTAACATGTTTTACTCACAATTTATATTACTTAAAACTTTTAACATTATTTTATAAAGAATATTATTTTATAGAGAATTATTTTATAAAGAATTTTATTTAAGAATATGATTATTTTATAAAAAATGTTATATATAGTCATAGGAAAATTACAGTATTTGACATAATATTATATATTAGAATTACCTTATATAAGAGAATAATTGGGTAGTTTTTGAATTATTACAATCGGTACAGAAAATTATTTGTTTATCTTTGCACAAGGTTTTTCGAATATTAGATGAATTAATGGTAGAACAAAATTTTGACATGATTTGTAAGGAAAATCATATAGTAAAAGAATAAAAAAAAAATTTTACAAATTAAATTTATTATTTAATTAGTTACTTTTGGCAGTTACTTTCTAAAAAATGTAGCCAGCTACAGTTACGATTTTGTAAATGTAACTAGTTATAAATATTTTTTAGCTAAAGTGTAGCTAGTTAATGGTAACCACTTAATTTGACAAAACTAATGTAGAGATTTTCATTTATAAGTTTTTTTATCTTCAGCAAAATTTATTTCTACTTATATTATTATTCTTCCTAAAAAATTATAGATGGGACACACCGATAATCCATTCTTAAGTTAAAAGTTATTTTTCACTAAGAGATAAACAAATTTTGACATGATTTGTAAGGAATTTTACAAAATTTATTTTTAAAGATAAGAATACAAAATAAAATATATAGTGTTTTTAAAAGTTACTTTGGCAATGTGACTTAAAGAATATGTTTAATACTATTTTTATATGAAGTTTTTATAAGATAAACCTTGATAATATACTGAACTGAGCTTAGCAATATTCATTTCGAAAAATCAAATAAATTTTTATTCATAAAAAATCCAAATAAAAATAGTATAAATAATATACCAATATAAAAAATACAATTATATGATTAAATTAAACATTTAAATTTAAATTATGGGATAAAGCCCTTAAATAATCCAGCATGGTTCTTGAATAAAAATCTTCAACAATTAGAAAAATCCTTTTGGATCTTTCGCGAATTCTTTCTTTGACAGCGGAGCCAATAGTCCTAAAGAATATTGTTCCAATTTGTAACAATTCAGGCTATCTTCGTCTTTGAGAGCTAAAAATTAAAATGCTAAAATTTATAATATAATATAATTACCAACTCTTTATAAATTTCCAGATCGTTGGATGATGGGAACTTATATGAGACGAAAAACTTCGATGCCAGTCCTCTACTGAATTATTTGTATTCGGTTCACGAGATAGTGTCGATTCGTAGCAACTCCATAGAGAAATGCTAAATATAGGCGACTTCCTGTCTATCGCTATCATTTTTCCAATCCACGTCTCTTCAAAGTATTCTATCAAGGGGGGGGGGGGGATATCCCTATTTTCTTGATAAAATTTAGAAGCACATAATTCCCCGAATCCATGAATTACATCCTCAATTGGTACATATGCCAGTGACATTAACATTTTTATGTACATAGCAAATTTTGTTCCGGTTTTGTATGCATTGCAAATTAGCAGATTTTTTTACCCGTGCGCTATATGCATTAAGACATATGTAACAGGCTTCCGCGCAAAAGTAACTGGTTACTTAATTTATATATATATTTCAATAAATATAATCAAATAATAAATTTAAATTTGTAAATTTTTTTAACATTCTTTTACTATATGATTTAAATCTTAGCCAATGAATATATTTGATTTAACGTAATCTATCCGACTAGCCCTGAATACTATCCACTAAAAATAATTGTAACTAGTGGCTAGTTATATCTAAAAAAAGAAAACTATTAACTGTAACTTGTTATATTTTCCAAAATTTAACTACTAACTTAACTAATTGCATTACATTGCCAAAGTAACTTTTAACAACACTATCTATTTTATTTTGTACTTATCTTTAAAAATAAATTTCGTAAAATTCCTTATAAATCATGTCAAAATTTTATTCTACCATTAATTCATCTAATAATCGAAAACCTCGCTTATATAAGGTAATTCTTATATTTAAAATTATGTAAAATACTATAACTTTTTTTTCCTATGACTATATATATTTTTTTATAAAATAATCATATCTTTAAGTAAAATTCTTTATAAAATAATTCTCTATAAAATAATTCTCTATAAAATACATTCTCTTTTTATAAAATAATTCTCTATAAAATACATTCTTTATAAAATAATTCTCTATAAAATACATTCTTTATAAAATAATTCTCTATAAAATTATTCTCTGTAAAATCATTCTCTATAAAATTATTGTCTAAAAAATCATTCTCTAATAAATCATTCTCTGTAAAATTATTCTCTATAAAATTATTCTCTATAAAATCATTCTCTATAAAATCATTCTCTATAAAATAATTCTCTGTAAAATCATGACATTCTCAATAATTATTTTCTCTGTAAAAGTTTCTCTGTAATGACGTGATACCATTACGTTACAACAAACCTGGTTAACAATATATATTTTCAATAATTTTGAAATAATAAATAATTTTCAAAATATTTTTATTTTATCCTTGTTTAAATTTTAAAAAAGTTTAAAAATATTACATATGACAATTGTCAGTTTTCTATGTTATATATAAAAAAAAATCAAAAAAGTTCAAAAAAACCGATTATGACTATTGTCACTTTCCTTTAGTACATCTTCACTGAAATTTTAATTTAATATGTTAACAATATCTATTTTTACCCATTTATCTTAAAAAAATTCAAAAATAATGATTATGACAATAGTCACTTTCCTGTGGTACATCTACACTGAAATTTTAATTTAACATGTTAACAATATCTATTTTACCCATTTGCCTTAAAAAAATTCAAAAAAGTTTAAAAATAACGATTATGACAATTGTCACTTTCCTATAGACATCTTCGCTGAATTTTAATTTAATACGTTAACAATATCTATTTTTACCCATTTGTCTTAAAAATATTCAAAAAAGTTCAAAAATAACGATTATGACAATTGTCACTTTCCTGTGGTACATCTTCACTGAAATTTCAATTTAATATGTTAAAAATATCTATTTTTACCCATTTGCCTTAAGAAAAATTCAAAAAAGTTTAAAAATAACTATTATGAAATTCTCACTTTCCTGTAGTGCATCTTCACTGAAATTTTAATTTAACATGTTAACAATATCTATTTTTATCCATTTGCCTTAAAAAAATTCAAAAAGGTTTAAGAATAACGATTATGACAATTGTCACTTTCATGTAGTACATCTTCACAGGAATTTTAATCAAACATGTTAACAATATCTATTTTTACCCATTTGCCTTAAAAAAGTTCAAAAATAACGATTATGACAATTGTCACTTTTCTATGGTACATATTCATTGAAATTTTATTTTTACATCTTAATAATAAAAATTATAACCTATTTACGACACAATAAATCAAATAAGTCAAAAAATAACGATTATTACAATTGTCACTTTTCTGTGTTACTTACATTACAATTACATCTTCATTGAAATTTTAATATAAATTTTTACCCATATATGTCAAAAAAAGTTTTAAAAAAATAACAATTATGAAAATTTTAGGTGCATCTTTATATAATTTTTATTTAACATGCTTACTAATCCATTTACTTCAAAAAATAATATCAAAAAAATAATAATTTACTATAACATTATAAAATATGAAGATCTTTGATCTAAAATATTTTTAAATAAAAGATCTACAAATTTTCGAGCGAGATCTTGCTCAAAAATCTTCAAAGAAGATCTTTTGTACAACTCTGCTTATAACTTCTAGTGACCCCTGATTTGTTTCAACATTAATAATTTCTATTTTCTACGCGGACTCTCGCCCTTTAACAATCCGGAATCTGATTTTCATTAATATCGTTTTTCCTGTTTTCTCGATCCATACTGGATGCTCTTGGCAACTTCCTCACTTTATCATATTTAATCTTAGTTTCGATAATGTCCCAATAATTATTGGCCACTCCAATTTCTACTATCCAATCCAACCCATTACTGTATGTGTATAGGCCTGTGCGCCTATATCTCAATTGACGGCGGCAGAAATTTTTTAAATTTTTTCATAGGCGTTCGGCGGCGCGATATTTATTTAAAATAATTTTTTTTATTCTAACACAATGTTAATATAGTTTAATTCATTTCTTAAATTATTTCCTGTCTCACTCCAATTTAAATTTATGTATTTTCTCATTCTCAGAAATAGATTAAGGAATTGCATTTTTACTCAGATAAGAGTCACATAAACAACATATTCCATTGATTTTTAATATAACAAATTAAAATATAAATTTGGAAAGCAAGCAAAATATAAAGTATGAAATATAATAAATCAGAATTCAGATTTAGCAAAATATTAATTGCCATGAATATATAGTTGGGACATAAAGAAGTCCTTTTGCATTGAGTATTAATCCAGCAATCAATTCTGGCAATCTTTTTGTATGCTATCAACAGTAACCTAATTATGAAGTCCATACCATAAGCATAAATGATGCTCATAATCCCCCAATCTTTCGCTTCTTGACATGGGCCCCAGAATCAGTTACCATTTGTATTATTTTGACTTTTAAAAGGAACTCTTCAATACTATCAATCTCTGATAATATGGTTTCCCCAGTATGCTTTTGTGCCACATTTCTAGTTGCCAGGGTAAAATATTTTAAATCAAAATTTTCATCCGGCGCACCAGGTCGGTCTGGTTCAATAACAGTTTCAACAGAATCAATATTTTCCATAGTACTAGCTGTGCATGGTCTACCACCACCATACCACCTTTCTGTTGATCAAGTAACGTCAATTTTTTCAATCAATCGATTTAAGGCTGTGACAGACCAGTTTCTGTTAAAAAATTCCATCAAAAAACTTTTGGCTTCGTAATGTTTATCATATTAGTTAAACTCACACCAATTTTTTAAATATCGCTTGTTCAAATATAGTTTAATAAAAAATTAATTTTTACATGTTGAAAACTTCGAATTTTGTTTGTCCAACTTTGAATGTGCATAGTGGATCCTGTTGATAGTGAAATTTGCAGAAAAAATTAATAATTTATCTTTTTCTCAATCTATAAAATTTGATTAAATTATATTTAGACTTAAACAAAAAAGGTACCCTTTGAATTGGAACGTGTATATCGTAAATATATTCTTTTCGATATTTTTCTTTTTTACAAAAATAAACAAATAAACATAACCGATGATTACATTAACCTTTAAAATAATAAAAATACATACCATTATGATTATAAGACTATGACCACTTCAATTTGGCTAACCTTGTACTTTAAAACATTATAGTGTAATCTTTTACAATTTTAATTTTTAAAAAATCTCTTGATAAATTATAAAATGCATACAAATAACTTGTCAGTGACCGAATATTTGGTGATAGTAAATAGAGTCAATACTTAAAATTTTAGGAAACTGTAATTTATGTCTACAACTCTCAATAAATAAGTAAGAGGGCAATTTATGAGTAGAAAGAATTCTTGTTATTAAAACTTTTACAAATAATACGATATTATGATTATTTATTGTGTATTATAAAAAATAAATTTAATATAATGAAAATATTGTAAATCATTTTCCTAGTAATAATTAATATAAAATTACTTCTGATTAAAATTTTATTATTTAAATTTCACATAATAAGGATTATATATTTTTAAAAAATAAGTTTTATTTTTTTCCAATTTGGATGGCATTTTTTATATAATTTATATCACTGGGGCAAAGGTAATTTAGATAACAAAATATATTGGATTCAAAAAAAGATAATAAATTACCATAAATGTTAGAATGAGATTTAAACTTTATATAAAATGCCAAAAAAGTAATGATTGTCAAAGAGTAAATATTGTTTAAATTGGTAATATCATTAAAGCCATTGTTCCAAAAAATCCTATAATTTATTTTTATTTTTAATAAATGAGTTAAGAGCATATCAATACAATTATATATCAGTTGAATAATATTATTAAATACCAAATCATTTGTTTTAATGATAAATTTATTATAAATTTGAAAAAAAGATGTAAATAAAGTGTGAAATTTTAAGGCGAATAATAAATATAAATAGAATATATTTAAATAAGATAGTTGCAAAAAATCTTGATCAAGATCCCGCATATTATATGGTAAAATCTCATATAGAATTATATTATTCGACATAGATTTAAAAAAATAATAAATCTTCCGATGGATTATAGAAAAAAGTGTTTGCCCATACTCTGAATTAAATATAATAGTATCTTCAACTTTCATATTGTAGTACTTAATAAGATTTAAATTAACGCGAAATGGATATTCAGTATTAAAGTCGTATCCACACCAACTAATTTGATCTGCGTTCAGATAGAGGTTGTGATTTAATTTATTTGTATTTATTTTAAGGCTACATTCGGCAACTCCACTATGGAGTAGTTCTAAAAATCGATTAGCATCAATATAAAGGGGAGTTATAAAAAAATAATCATCGACATTGCGCACTATAAAACATTGTTTTGAATTAAAAATCGATTTAAATAACAATTTTTCCATGTGACCTAAATACATATCGCAAAATAATGAAGATAACGAAGACCCCTGAGGAATACCTTTTGATAGTTTATATATTCTGTAGATCTTTCTCGGGGAACTAAAATTTTCTTTAATATATTTATGAAATACGTGTAATGATACAGCCTGTAAAATCGTGTTTAATTGTAAAGTCTTGATTTCCGATTGCTTTCTAATATAAATCAAATTATATTTTATTTCATTACTACAATTATTCGTAAAAAATTTTGAATTTGAATCGGATATATCTTCTAATGCATCTTGTTTAGTTCGAGAAAATAAAAATTTAAGATTTTTATTAATCTTGGCCTCTCTGGTGTTATGTATGACATACCCGTCATTACTGAATTTTTTTGAATGCTGTTTTTTTATTTCATAATAGGAGCAATAATAAAATGGAGGGGACAACTGAATTATCAACTCTATTAATATAGAATAAAGTTTTTGAACATCTATATTATCATAACATTTGTTTAAGTCAGCATTGATAAAATATAATTTCATTTTTTTATATTCACTTGTATATTCTTTCGAGCAATGATTCAAAAAATCGAACCATTTTGTGTGTATCATCCTAGAGTTGACGCCATAACCTTTATAATTATCAAGATTACATATATAAGTCATAAATGGAAATAACCATCTATAATTCTTTCTAAAGTTTTGCTTGGTATTGATAATAGTTCGTGTTCCATTGAATTTAGGAGAAAAACGAAATTTATTTAAAGGGTATAGATTTGTAATGCTTTGCTTGATAAATATATTTTTAGCCAGTAATATCTTTAATTGTTGATTATGAAAAAATTCCCATACAGAAAAACGATAATAAATTAATTTTTTGTTGTGAGTGATGTCAGTAACAAAAAATTATTTTTTTATTATTGTTATTAAGTAATAACTGATAACCCAATACCAAAAATGATACCAAAAAATATATTCAATAGGTTTTCGCTGATTAAATAGCAAACATTCCCAAAAAATATCAAAGGAAATAGAAGAATTTTTGGTTAATTTAAAAAATTTTTTAATACATTTCATAAAATTATCTTTATTAATAAAGTTCCATATTGAAATTGGTATAAATTTATTTAAAACATTCTGCAAAAAATTGAATACTTTGTGCTTCCTTGTATATTTGGTGGGACCAAATTTTTCGAGTATAATATAATTCAAATAATTTTTAAATTTATATGTTGATTTAATATATGCATTTTGTTGACATCCATAAATCGCAGGACAGTTTTTGTTAACTAATTTACGATAATTGCAAACATTATGATTGATGATTAATTTTTTTATAACACCATAGTAGAAAGGATTTTCTATCAAAACTTCAATATATTCCTTATTAAGTGGGGATAATTCTCTAGGATATCTCTTCCGATTAGAGTCAATGAAAGGCAATGTAAATAATAATTCCATAAAATCTTTAATCAAATTTTGCATATTTGAGCAGTTATTGCATTTTGATAAAATATGTGTTTTTGGGAAAACATGTCTTCCGAAATTAGTGTTTGTATTCAAAATAATATGATTCACGTGAATAAAATATTTATTTTGAACTTCAAGTATTTCTTTATCACTGCAAAATATGTTTCTCAAATTTTTAAGTTTTCCTATATTAAATTGTTTTAAATGTATATTCAAAGTTTCCATTTCGTAAATTTTAACAAAATAACCATTTTTAAAGTGAATATTAAGTTTTTCAATAGAAGATACAAAATAAAATATATCACAATTTGTTTTAATTAAACTTAACATTCCATATAAATCACTTTGGTTTAATTTGTTATTATCTTTAAAAATTGTAATCCACAAATGAGATGCTGTGTAACAATAAAATGTTTCTAACATTTGATATTCAAAATGATCCAATAAATATTGAATATCCATTTCCAATTTTAAAAAATTAACTGACAATATATGATTGGTTTGATATTCATTGATGTATGATTTAGGAATAATGGGATAGTTACTGCATATTATATATTTTTTTGCATCCAAAATTTTTAGGTATGGCGGGATGCATATTAATAAGTCATACAGCGTATATGCATGATGATACAATTCTAAAAATATTTCCATATGGAATCTAATATTAAATTAATATAAATATAATAAATATTTATTAAAATAGATATAATATCCTTACCCTGCACCATTTATATCCAACTACCCATATATTATATGCTAAATAAAATATTCATTCAAAAAATAATCATAAACACTCAAATTTTATATCAGAAAATTCATTAAATAAAATATCAAGAGAAATTAACAGCTCACTCTCCTGACAACCAATTAAGTCACCTAATTATTTTATTAATATATTTGAGATATGGACTAAATGATGGATAGTCCAATAAATTAATATTGATATCATAAGCATTTAAAATAAATATAGTTAAGGATGATGCCAAATTAAGTGAATCAAAGGGATCAGTATTTCTTCTCCAAATATTAAGTAATTTAAAGAGAGAATTAATTATATTTAAGGAAAAATAGTTATTGAGCAAATTATTTTATAAACGGCCTATTTAAAATACTGCCTAAATCAATAAAAATTATAAAATTTTAATTTATATACTATATGCTTAGTATTTTTGACTATTTAAAAAATACTTGAAAAAATTTTCCAGTTTGGAGTTATCAACATTTAAAGTTTTTAGTTATTAAACTTTTGTTAAAGTATCATAGGGTCAAATTAATATATAACAAATTAGACTACAAATTAGCTATTGTCCAGACTAGATATGGGACTCAGTGCAAAAAACCTACCTATTCATAAAATAAATTAATGCTTAATAGTGTGAGAAAATTAATTATTGTCATCTGTAATCTTTTAAATAAAAATGTGTTAAATTTTTCAAAAAAAAAGATACATATCATATCATATTATACACTGGGGAGACATCCCACAATTAAGTGGGCACTCCACCACCCCATAGAGGGTGTCTCCAGTGCAGTGAATTTGCATTCACTGTTTGGCAGAAAATTTACCCTACTGTCTGGGTCCTGTTTAATTTGAGTGGGATGACAGGTACCACTCGTGGATAAGCCAGGATCCACAAAGTTGACAGTAATTTACCCTACTGTCAGGGTCCCGTTTAATTTGAGTGGGATGACGGGTACCACTCGTGGATAAGCCAGGATCCACATTGTAAATAATGTTTATTTATTATAAAAGATAAGATAGGAATATGTATTAGAAAAAAGGGGAGGGGGGGGGGTAATTAAGGAGTAAAGAGGAAGAAGAATTAGTTTTTGTAATTTGTAATTTATTAATTTTTTTGTTTTGTTTTCTCTTTTTTGTTTTGTTTTTTCTTTTTTTTTTTATATTATTAGTAATAAGAGATTCTTGTGTTAAAATAATGTTAATATCATATTGATCAAGGAGTTTCCTAAGTATAGTTGTTTTTGAAAGTAGGCCAGGAATGTTGTAGGAGTAGATTGTTAGATTTTTGAAAATTGACATAATATAAATTTTAAAGTAAAATGTAAGATAAATTTGAATTTTGAAATAGAAAAAAAATGGGGAAAAAATAAGCAGACGATACTTGGAAAATTGAAAAAGCAAAAAGCAGACAAGAGAAATGATGAATAAGAAAATATCCATGAAATTGAGTTTTAAGAGAGGATTAAAGTTAAATTTTGTTTAAGAAAGAAGTTGTAATTATATTAAATGTTGATTTATATTATTTTGTTTAAATTAAGTTAATAAGATTAATATATAGAAAAAATAAATTGTTAAAGGAAATAAATAATTGAAATAAAAGATAAATAAATGATTTATAATGGTACTTGCTAAACTTTATAGTAGCTTAGGTAAAGAATTGGAGAAGATAAGAAAGAATTAAGTTATGATGAATTGATTGAGATAAATTAGTAAATAAAGAAGAGAATTTATTTCTTTGATTCGATCCTCTTAGCTTTCCAGTCCAAGCTCCGCAATCATCCTCAAAGACTGATTTTTAGCCAACATTTTTTAATATATTAAATTGATTATTAATTACAAAAACTTTATTATTTTTTACCCCAGTAGGTATTAAATTTAATACTTTTATAGGATGCAAGAATAAAGACATTAATTCATCAGTAGTTAAATATTTACCAAAATTTTTAAAACCTTCCCTTGCCATAGAATCTTCTTGAATAGTGGTAGCTTTAATGTCTAAAGCTATTTTAGACGGATAAAGTGATATAGATGTCGAAGGCTGATTGGACGGAGAAAGGGGTATATATAAATATTCGGAATTTTTAGATTGGGCTTCGATTGGATTTTTTAACTCTTCATATACAAAATTAGTAGGTGAAAATACACTAGACGGAGAAGATGTTCTAGAAAGAGTAAATACTCTAGATGGAGAAGGTGTTCCAGAAAGAGAAATTACTCTAGATGGCGAAGATTTTCTAGAAAAAGAAATTACTCTAGATGGAGAAGATTTTCTAGAAAAAGAAATTACTCTAGGTGGAGATGGTGTTCCAGAAGGAGAAATTACTTTAGATGGAGAGGGTGTTCTAGAAAGAGGAAATTCTCTAGAGGGAGAGGGTGTTCTAGAAAGAGGAAATTCTCTAAAGGGAGAAGGTATTCTAGACAGAGAAATTGCTCTAGAGGGAGAAGGTGTTCTAGAAAGATAAATTACTCTAGATGGCGAAGATTTTCTAGAAAAAGCAATTATTCTAGATGGCGAAGATTTTCTAGAAAAAGAAATTACTCTAAATGGAGAAGATTTTCTAGAAAAAGAAATTACTCTAGATGGAGATGGTGTTCCAGAAAGAGAAAGATGGAGAAGGTGTTCTAGAAAGAGGAAATTCTCTAGAGGGAGAGGGTGTTCTAGAAAGAGGAAATTCTCTAAAGGGAGAAGGGGTTCTAGACAGAGAAATTGCTCTAGAGGGAGAAGGTGTTCTAGAAAGATAAATTACTCTAGATGGCGAAGATTTTCTAGAAAAAGCAATTATTCTAGATGGAGAAGATTTTTTAGAAAAAGAAATTACTCTAGATGGAGAAGATTTTCTAGAAAAAGAAATTACTCTAGATGGAGAAGATTTTCTAGAAAAAGAAATTACTCTAGAGGGAGAAGGTGTTCTAGACAGAGGACTTGCTCTAGAGGGAGAAGGTGTTCTAGAAAGACGAAATGCTCTAGTGAGAGATTTGTTTTTATTTTCCAGTTTATAAATATGATCTGAAGGTGGAGAATGTGAAAGTGTTAAAGAATGAGGTGTTCTAGAAGAAGATAGATTTATAGATTTTACTGGACTTTTCAAATCTATATATTCAAATTTGGATGATGATGTTTTCTTTTGTAAATAACAAAAATGATTTGGAAAAAAAGGCTGCTAAATTCTTAGGGTATATCATGCATGTCCACATGATATTAATATCAGTCATCGAAAATGGTTTAACATCATGTCCTTTTATAAATATGGTGTATGGACTATATCCTATCCCAACACCTGGGGGGGGGGGGTCAATAAAACATGAAAGGTAGTTTTAAAGCTGCACTCGTTGCATAAAGATGCAAGAGCTGGGAAAATCCATTTATATTTAGAACATCACGCAAAATTTTTGCATAATTGCCAGATACAATTTGCTCTTCAATTATAGTTTTATTATTATTATAAAATTTTGAATTTATATCATAAAATTTTTTATTTATTATGATTTCAATGGCTGTTAGAAGACGAATATATAAATGTTCATCTTCGTGTCCATAAAGAGCTAAAGACATTGAGAGATAGAAACAGTTACCATCGCCAATGGCTAATCTCGGGGAGTAATTATTTAAAATTTGGGGTTGAAAAGTTTTTATTATTTTATATGAAATAATATGTCTTTCTTACCTATTAAATTGTTTTTTAAATATTTATCAGAAACTTTATAATGAATTTCTAAAAATCTAAGCTCATTTAATGCGTTTTTGATATTGCTATTCTTAATTAGCCTAGGTAAAGCATCACCAATTAAATAACACAATGAACATATATAATTATCATTAGAATCTGACCAATCTTTCATCATCTTTGAAGTTAATTTAGGGATGCATTTAGCATGAATCTATCTCCGACAAAAATCGCAAAAAATCCCAGATTCATTCATTCCTACAATCACATTGCAAATATTACACATATCTGACATGGATAATAACTAATATAAATTGTGCAGAATTATAAATATTTATTAAATTTAAATTGTATAATTTTATTTTCTTAAGGCGACAAAGATTTTAGCTTGATATTTATAGTAGTGATCTGCAACTGGCCTAATTTTTCAAGCTAGGCCCGGCCCGAAATTTTTTTTAAAAGAGTTTTGCCGGCCCGACCCGAATTTATTTAAATATAGAAATTAAATTTTATAATTATACTCAAAATAATAGATATTATCTTATATGTCGTCTATTTCTACAAATAAAATATTTTTATTTTACATAAATAATTCAGCATAAAATTAATAAATTTAAATATATTTTAAAAAAATCCAAGGCCCGACCCCACCAGGCCAAAATTAAAAAAAAAAAATTAGGCCCCATTAAGACATTTTAAATGATAAGGTTGTAATATTATAGATTTCTATGGTTTAACTATCCCCTATATTAATTTAAATTTTACTTTGTATTTGAGAATTTATATATGAATAAATAATAGTTTTTTTACATTTATATATATTCTATTGAGATAAATAATTATAATAATATATTAACCTTTTCCATAACTGTAAACAACATTTTTACAATGGTGAATAAAATATTATGTAAGATATTTCGAGTACCGTTTTATGTAATATACATTATATATTTACTAATTTTATAAAAATAATTATCTTTTTAAAACTTTGAAATTTGTACTTGAAGTTCTACTTCCGTTTAATTTATCAACTAAATTTATTTAATAACCACAGGTGTGCAACATAATTATGTAAGTTGTTTTATCTAAACTAGATTAATAATTAAATTTGACCGGAAGATTCATACAAAAACATTTGAAGGTATGAAGAAAAAATGAATTGTTCGACACTTTGTAGCCTAATTTATAAAGATACAAAAATAATAAAAAAATGAATGAATAAGAAAAAAATGAGTGAATATGAAAAAAATTCGTTAGCCTTAGTCTTTTATTAAAACGATTGTTAGACTTATTTATGATATAAATACCCAACGGTCTTTTTAAAGACCAATACCCAGCGGTCTTTTTTAAGACCAACACCCAACAGCCTTTTTAAGACCAATACCAAACGGCCCTTTTAAGGGCCCAATAAATTTTAATTGAAGTAAACTAGTTTTACAATACATATCATAACTCAAAATATAAGGACGGAAACTTAAATTTTTTTTCATTTTATGTTTAAATAAGTTAGTTTACACCAAATGAGTCAAA